GGAAGCAGTAAGCACCTCTGAAACGTCGATTTCTACAACAGGTTTTAGCAATATTCGAAAAGGCTGTCGTCTTCATATTCGGCGCAGTTAAAAACTAAAATCTCACTAACATTAATATATTAGTACACAGATCGTTGGGTATAGTTAGGATTGCGACATATTGGAGGCTAAGATGGGATGAGCGTGTTGTTATAAAAGGGAAAACGAGGAATACATACAGAATTTCGGTGTGAAAACTTGGATAAAATGAATCTTGAGATACGATATGAGGATGGGACATGGGTGGGGGTAATTCAGGATCCTTTCCAATGGATGATTTTGGTATTATTTGTTTAACTTTTGGGGTCTGCTATCATAACGATAGTTAATTATATTATAAAATTAAGTACACATTGAAGTTTGACAGCAACATTTCCATTGCATAATAGTGCTGCAAGTCCCCGCTGCATTCACTGCTACCAATTGCTCATAATGCAAATTCTGTCAGAACTCCTGTCGTTTTTCAAATCTTAAGGTTATGGCATTGTAGAAGAGCCTTGTGTCATATAGCAGATCACAGATAATATAAATCTATTTCGTGTTGCTACTCTTAGATAAAGTAACAAGTTATGTCAGACCTGGCATGAAAGCAATTCCAGAAGTCTGCACATATCCAAGACAACAAGAGAGAGCATTCGTGCCGGGCACCGCCCAGGTAATATCAGCCGATGACACTTGTCACAAACGTGACAAGTTGTGTTCCAACTCCCCCCCCCCCCCCAACACATTGCACGTGCTTAGGTCCGTAAATCCATATCAATGAGAAAGCCCTTCGCTCTGTCAGTCTGTGTCTCTTAGACCGTTCATGCTCGTTTCCGTAATCTTTTTCTGAAGATCCTGTAGTTGAATTTTTTTAAAAAGAAGTGAGGAATGCGATGAATTAACATGTTGACAACTCATAATACACTAAGATGTCTGTCTCCTGGGTTGTTGCGACGTTTAATCTCGTAGAAATTTACCAACTCTTCAGAGGTCCTTGCTACCTCCAACGCAGCCATCTTCGGACTCACCGCCGTGAGAACCTGAAAACCTTTTCAATAATACACTAAATCGAAAAGGAAGTATTAAGCACGCTGGCTTCTTACTGTACGAAAGGCGTGTCAATCTGACATCGTGCATCCTTTCTGTCCCAGCGGCGGTTTTCGTTATTCTGCTCTACAAAGATTTATCCTTCGCGTAACAATACAGTCCTCTGACACATCGGCGTGTCTCACGGTGACCGTCGTGGTAGCCAACGTGTTAAATATAACTCAGTATGAAGATTTCTGTTTTCTGGGTTGTTGCGCCGTGTAGTATGGTAGATGTTTACCAACATTTCGGAGATCATACTGCCTCCGTCATCAGGGCGATTGCATACCATACTACACGGCGCAACAACCCAGAAAACAGAAATCTTCTTACTCAACGCTGTGAAAACCTCAAATCTCACACATAACTCAGTAATTCAAGAAATTCTTTCTTTGGTACAACCTATTACATTGGCCAGAGATTGTAATCCTCATATTACAAAACAAGTCCAACTATTACTTGCTTTAAATTTTCTGTATCGGATTATTCGACTCTTTCGTCCTTACAAAGTGGGAACAGGAGACCGAAGCGAGTGGATAGGTGACACAGGGGATCTTCAGTCGTCGCTGGGCTGTGCGTAACTTTGCGTGTTCTTTCTGCCTTTGACGTTCCGATGTGATGAGAAACATCAGATATCAGACAGACGCGCAAGAGGGAACAGCCCTATATTTACTCGCCAGGCATCTTGCCAGGGGAAGGAAAAAACGCGGCAGTCTGAAGCTTCGTCGATATTACAGCTACCTTCATTTCCTGTACTCCAGTGGTATCATTATTGAGCTCTCCTTTTTGTTTAAAGTGCATTCAATGTGTGTGTTTCATCCCCAAAACTACATATTGAATGTGGTTATGAGAACTGTGAACCTGCAGCAAATGTATGAATTTGCATGGACAGTTAGAGCTAGGATGAGTTTCTTATAACCTCCACTGTCCACATGCAAGCCCCATCTAAAGTGGCACCTTTTAAGCTCGGAGACAAATCTCTGGTGACCCTGTCATGGCGGCATAAACAAATGTGCGCATAGGACGAAATGCATATGCATAAGCTTGTCTGGAGGCTTTAGCGACAGCAGAAATACTTTTACCAGACTATAAGTCGACAAGCTATAGTAAATTGTCACGAAGAATTTGTCATTACTTTCAAGCCCAAATAACGCATATTAGTGTAAAATTAATTTGTTGCAAGCAATAAAGAAGCCAGGTTTGAAAAGTTTGCGTAGTACAGCAGTGGCGTGGTTCGAAATATTTTTCGCCTTAAGAATTCAGTCAGGTTTGTTTGGCGATTATTACTGTTGACGAAGCACACCGCACTATGACACTGTAGCCTAACCCATATACACATCTGGTTTCAAAAGCCTGCCTACATAATCAGACTCTCACACTTGCCTCTGATGCATCTAATGGTACTTCTCAAAATTAAGTAAATCTGTCTGTGGTATGGAGTCCTTGAAAATTAAGTAATACGCTCAGATAGTCAAGAAATGTCACTCCTTTATGAAATACGAAGATTCTTTACCATGAAGATGTCTGTCTTTTGGGTGTAGTTCGGTAGAAGTTTACCGATGGTTCAGAGGTCCTTGCTGCCTCCATCATCTGGACCAGGGCGATCGGACTCATCGCCCTGAAAACCAAAAATCCTACGTTCATTGCCATTCCAGAAGTCCCTATCCTGAGCCAGATCAATTCAATCCACGCCCTCCGAAACTGTTTCCCTGCTATCCGCTTTAATACTACCATCTTCTCTACGCCTTGGTATTCTGAGGGTTTCTTTGTTTCAGGTTTTCGGCCAAAATCTTGTACGCACTTGAAAAACAAGCTTTATGCTGCTGGTCTATTCTTCTTTCATCCCATATTTCAAGTTCTTTCGCTTACGTCAGGCCCAGTTATAGGCCGACCAAACGCCCACCTTCGTCTCGTACTGACAGACAGAAACGACGTTTAATGAAATATTGCGTCAGGTTTGTTTAGGCCTGTGACATTTAACATGACCAAATTATACAATTTAAAGAACATGTTAATATCGCATAAACCATCTTCTAACAAAGAAATTTAAATCCTCAAATATCTAAATGCTTTGTCCTATTTTACTTATTAATGTTTAATGTAACGCATTGTTATACTTATTAAAAATATCATATGTTTATAATTATGTAACTAAACGTATAACTTTTAGTTTTAGATTATGAAAGATACAACACGTAAATAAATTTATCGAAATTAAAACAATTAATCAAAAATTTGTTATTTGTTTCAAGACCGTTCCTAGCCCCACGTTGTTTGGAATGTTCCCCTTTATATCTCCAGGAAATTATTCTCGTCTTGCTGCAGCCTAGATTAATATAAAACGCATTGCGGTTTATCTTTCACGGCTTCCAAATCTATTAGAGCTGCAGACATGTGGGAGGAAACTGACAAACTAGAGCCGCGATTCCATTGAATAATGCTCACCGCAAAGCTTAACCGCTAACTAATGGAATGTGCGCCCGATCGTGAAACTTTAAACCGCAGGGCTTTCGGTTCAAGGAACCTTCAGATCCTTCTCGGATTCAATTTCTAATAGAAAGGACACATTTAATGGATATAAAGATGGGGATAAAAGTAGTGAGATAAATAAACGTGAAAGGAGGAAACGAAGGAATATACATCATATTTTCGTAATGGAATGAATAAAGAATAAATAGAATCTAAGAAAGCAAGAACGCGAGAGAAATAGTTAACAACATAAACGAGGGAAAGCAGAAAATACGTAAGGATGAATGGAAAATGTTGCTGTAAGAACCAATGGTAGGCCTACGATGCTAACAACAATCATATGCTACCGTTACCCCGTGTAAATAGACTCAAACCTCCCTGTGACCCTCGAGTCTAGGACACCCTCGTTGCTCTGCCTCTGTTCATCGTACCAGCTGCTCAGAAGATCTGTCCATTTGTAAACACGGTATTTTCACGAGCAGAACGTGTGTTCATTTCCGAAGAAATACTAGCAACTCAGCTTCGTGAAAACAGGAAATGTTTTGCGTCTCCTGAAACGTCGTGGCCATCAGCTATGAAGCTGTTCTGTTACGTTGTTCCTAACAAATAAAAACAACTCGATTGTCTAGAAAATAAATCCCATATGATGACTCAACGCTGTGATGATAAACGCAACGGTCACCTCCGAAACATCGGTAAACTTCTACCAGACCACACGATTCTACAACCCAGAAGACGAGAGAACCTTAAATCTTGCTAAAATACAACGAGTTATTAAAAAAACCTGAAAAAATGAAAGCGTTAATTGCTGAATAAGTTATTATGTTAAAGGAAGACCAACCCTGAGACTCCACAAAAGGAAGTTATACCAGAACACGTGGCCTAGTTAAGGAGCATGTGTCCTTCGAGTATGTGACATCTGCAAAGCTTCAATCAATATCCTGTGGCGTTTTCTGAACCAGCTCCCGCAGTAAACATGTCAGAGGCTCTAAAAACAAGGACACGTGTTGCTCCTGCTAAGACAAGTAGAGTTTTTAAGCCCATCAACGAATGGGATTTACCATAAGAAGACTACATCCCAACCTAGAGTTGCAGATGGCGGCCGAAAGGGATATTCTGCCTCGTGACAGGAAACTGCAGAGTGGGACAGTCTGCAGGAAGACACCTTCATAAACATAGAACTGTAAAGGTTCACGCTACAAGACGACCAGAAATGTACAGCATGTCACAAATGTGCTGTTTCTTTATTTTATAACTTAAACTAATACTTTCGAATGTAAGAATTCTAATGCAAGCAACGGTACTATTTACTAAAAGGCACTAGACGGTATTAGAGATCAAAATGAACGACATGTATCACATCATTCAACGGTCCATCGCCGACTGCCAGGGTTTCAATTCTGAAAATAACCGCGGTTAGTAAAACCTAAGCGCTATGTGAAAAACACTTAATAGAAAACAATACAAATATAATATATAAAATAACAACAGAAGGTCTAGAGCAATGGCAGTCTGGGAGCTAGAGAACTGGTTTCTGATGTAACAGATCTGCCGCCAGCAAATGTATGTCTCTCGGGGTGGAATTAATCGATTTTTTCGTGTGTAAAAACATTTACAACGCAACCGGTGTTGACAAAACTGGATACAGATGGGAAGCCGTGGATACATCAAATCCGGTGTTGAGAAGGTTTCGCTGTAAACAGAAAATGTTAATCACGTAAACAGAAAGATAGATGAAATAATAACGAAAACCAGTTTTAACTACGTCAGCAAGGAAGAAGCTATTTTCGGCTTATAGTTTACTATCATAGCAGTGTTATTGCGGGAAATTGGACAAATGCTCACATTTCTTACTAATCTTTATTAGCCGAAAACTTATCGTAGGCCTGGCGCGTCGTTAAATATTATAGAACGATCATTAGTATCATCATCATCATCACCCACCTACCAACTCGACCTTAGAACAGTTATCGTTTGCGAACTTAGTTCCTATAATTTCCTTGTCGAAACAAATAATTTTGTCCCTTGAGCCGCTCTTTTGTCATGCTTAGTTTCCGAGATACAGAAACGATCTTTACCGTAACTCGAACACAGGACAGTCTTATCGGGGTCGTAGCAGTGTTCCTGTAATCTCCCCGTCGAAGACAACTGTTTCGGGTTTCCAACCTACAAGAACCGCCCTCGCACGTACTCAAACTCAGGATACTTTTCCGCAATTTCTACCTTCTTAAAATTTTTTACTGACCTCAATGAATAAGAATGTCAAGTCTGGTGCAAATCGATATATCTATTCTCGAGCTTAAATCGATCATACACATACACAAATTCAATTTACAAGAACAGACCTGGAGGAGGCGAGGTAGCTCGGCACTGCTCTGATCCTTTTGTAATCTGTCTGATTCGTTCATCACGCTTGAGGTTGAAGAGGATGTCAGTAGGTGCTGTATCAGCTGAGATGCTGTGGGCAATAGTCCACTTCAAGAGAATCATGACGCAGGTCACGTGGTTCAGGAAGCCACACGCTCTTTGGTGTTACTGGTGAAGTCTGCAATGCAGTTCGTCGATGGGCGTTCTTTAAATGCGAGAATAAAAATGGAAGTAAAGGAAAGATCGGTGACTGAAATGCTCATACACTAATACAAATATTTTTCTCCGACAATCTCTTATTTGCAGTCTCCTTAATGCTCCCAAAAATTATAATGAATGATTTGGTTACAGAAGCAGGATTTGCCCAGCAGACTCTACAGACATCAGTTCAGTAGGATGTATGTACGTTTTCTTATACCTCTTACTTCCTTCTAGATGTGAGCCCAGGTTTCCAGTATGTTCGGATAGTATCTTCTGGTATCCACCTCATAGGCGCTTTCTCATCGAAGCTGCAGAAACGCGACTGTTAGTTACACAATGTTTGTATATTCGCGTGTAACAATTCGAAAACCACAAAGTGGATTAAATTTGTTAACACATTCAAATTTTATTTAAAATTGGAACACGATAAGAATTAACATTTGAAGGGATGGATGCGAATTGTAACAACAGGGCTTAAAACTGATGTTGAAATTACTACTTTATTTGTTTGGGCTTTACAGTCGTGTTTGTTTTTCTAATTTTAAAAACCTTAAACCCTTAAAATTTACTAGTTTCGAAGGGTCGATCGCTTTGTGTTTAAATAAAAATGCCGTCATATACAATCTTCCTGCCCGAGATTCCTCAACTCTTAAAAAGGTTCAGAGCTCCTACCGTTGTGCTAAGAACAACGCTTACTTAACCTTTAAGGTAGGAGGGAAGTGATTCTCATTAGGAATTTTTTTATGACTTTATGACGCAATGCTGACGCAGAGCACCGGAGAAAGTGGTCCCATTTAAATATGATGCTGGATGACGTACATTGACGTAATGGGTCACTTATCTAAAAGAATGTATTCTTAACATGCACAGACCTACCTACATCAATATTCTAACCGGATACCGCTACCATGGTGGAAGTTAGAATTTTTGTGGTAGGCCTATATGATATTTTGTTAATAGCTTTTAACGAATAGTATAGAACGTTTCGACCGAATGGTTAGCACTCTTCTCCCTTTGTATGACGTTCTGGTTTCAAGTCTTTGCCCGAATTCTGGATATTCTGACTGAAGATTTTCCTTAGTCGCTCCAGACAAATTCAGGGATATGACCTTAAATTAGGCCATATCGGAATTTAGGGTTTTATCAAAACGAGGTAGTGACATGATAATACAAATATTAATAACGTATTATCTGAAGATCTCACAGCTACAAATGAATTCTTCTCGGGCTACCAGCCGTGTTAGGTGGCTGAAAGGTGAAAACGCCTTTCAACCACCTGACACGTCCGGTAGCCCGAGAATAATTTATTATGTTCACGTTTTTTGATAAGCATGAATTTTTTGACTGCACTAGGCTGGAATTTCCTGGACGGGAAGAAGGCAGAGATTCGAACCAAGGATTTTTCGGATAGGCAGCAGGAGTACTAACCACTGTATCGTGACTTCCGTTACCCATAACGCTGTCAAACGTGATACAATGTGGTGGTAGCTGTAACGATGTTTCCCCGCCTCGCGACCCACACCGGCTACCTCCTCTCCGCTCGCTAATCTTACTCCGCGCACCGACCGTCATCTGGCACCAACCGACTTGCCAGTGTTGTGATGGCGCGTCAGTGGATACAAGCTCGAAACGTAATTCGCCGCAGAATGCGCCAGCCGCCAATCGTCACGCTGTTCCACCAATCGCGGGAAGGAATTCAACCTTACGCGCACAAACTTGCATTGTGTCATACTTAGTCGATCAGTATGAGTCAAATTCGCAAATAACAAACAAAAAATTCATCGCCGACACGTAAATTAAACGTCTCGCGGGTTTATTTGCAGCTCAGCGCTCCCAATAAATTGAAATGAAGAAGGTGCTTACTGAAAACAGACCAGAGAGACAATAAAAGAACGGTCCGTATTACATGCGTACAGTAATTTGTGGGTAGGAGACACGCGGTGGCAAAAACAGTCATTAATACTTTTTACTATAATGAATTTCAAGCAATCAAATTTATTATTTTAGAAGGTTATACGACAATTTATAATTGACTAAAAACATAACTGAACTGTGATTAATAATAATTAATAAAAACATTAATAATACATTGCTAACTTGTATAAAGTAAAATAATAATGACGTTGAGTAGGAATTGACAGTGTTTTTGAAGTGCACTGAAGAAAGCTTCAAACGTTGTGACAGTGACTGCTTTTCGAGTTCAAAGAGCAATGCGTACCAAAGGAATGTACCTCACGTGGCTGAACCTGATTTTACTATCGGTGCTTGTCCACCACGTGGCGACTGAGTTGTCTCTGGAAGTGGAAGGCGTAAGAAGCAGTGCGATGACACACCAGGGTGAGTGACTGACCTGCACTTGTTTTGGTTCATTCTCTTATATCGCATTTGCCACGAGGCTTATAGAAACGACGCTGCATGCCAAAATCAGTGTGAATGGTAAAAGGAAAATTAGTAGATGATGCGGAGTCTGAAGTTTTTAATCTTTCGATACCGGTATTAAATGCGTAAAATAAATTTGAGAACAGTACTAGCAAATCAATATTATGTTCACGAAGAAGTCATGGAAAAATTAAGTTCTGGACATACTCGTTATCATTCAGTTTATAATCCTAGGATAGTGACGTAAATGAATCTGAAGATGATACGTACATTGAGAAGAATAATTAATAAATAATTACCGTATTCAGAGGAGCCCTCAAGCAGTCTTATATTCAGCCAGACGAATACAATTCACAACCCCAAAACCCTATTTCTCTAAGATTCATTTTAATATTATTCTTCATCTACACCTAGGCATTCTAAGTGATCTCACTCTTTCAGACTTTTCAGACAACATTTTATGCGCATTTCCCATCTCCCTCATGCGTGCTGCATGCACCGACCATCTCATTCTGTTTGATTTTATCATTCTGATAATATTTGGTGTCCAAGTACAAACTGTGGAACACCTCAACATGCACTTTCTTCCAGCCTCTGTCACTTTATCCTTCGTAAGTTCGAGTATTCTCCAAGCACTCTGTTCACAGACATCCTCAAACTTTGTTTTCCTTAAATGTGAAACACCGCGTTTCACACCCACAAAAACAAGAGGTAAATTTGCAGTTAGTTCTGAATATTATAATCGTTGCGTTTTTAGGTGGCATACAGAAAGATTCTGAATTTTGTGATCTGGTGTTATTTCCTCTTGAATGCGATTCTGACCTGTTAAGGTCGTTCCCACATTTAAACTTTGCTACGTTTTCAAAGGACTTATTAGCTAAATTCTACTAAATTTCTTAATAAAATCAAGCGTTCATTCATTCGATCCCTGGGCAGTGGTGATTTATGTATATATTTCACTTGTTTTTGTAACAGCCACATAATTACACTTTCAAAGTTTATTCTTGTCAATTTACACTGTGTGGTCGTAAGTCTGAAATTTTGGTGTAGCCATCATGTTCATTGTTATAAACCGTTCATTAAAACAGCTTGTGGCAACTACTGACGCAGAATTTATTACAATACAAAGTCGGAACACATGTTTAAGAAGCCGGACCTTATATGGACTTCAGACTTCGACTTCACGAACCAAGTCCTTGGTGGGTTCCTTTATTTTGTATCAAGCGTTTCCAGCCAAGATTCTCATAGTCATGAATTTTGGTGGGTGGGGTTGGAGGGGGCAATGCATAGAAACTGTCGCCACCTACAAAGAAGGACCTTGAAATTCCGAAAGTAATCTCGCAGGACAACTAGCCTCTGCGAAAATTGAGAGATATCGGACACGCTTGATGTAAGAGAGAATGTAGATGTTCGAAATTTCGTGTTCCTTAGACAAAGGAAAATATTATATTTTATATGCTGTAAAAGAAAAGGTTTGCCTATTTATCAAAAAACACCCTAATTCTTACATTATTTTACAGTTGTGTCAGTAGGTTCAGTACGGATTTATGGGGGTTGAGTTCTGTACAGCAAAAAATTGAGTCCGCAATCGCTTCCTTTTCGAGTTACAGCCCGATGAAGCACTGCAGTGACCCGGATGACACCTACCATAACCGACGGATAGGTTGAGGAAGACCACTGAGTACAGAGCCCACGCTCACCTGATCTCGAATCCTGTGGGTTTCCACACATGGGGACACTTGTTCCTTCACCTGCTGTTAACGATGTAAGAACTCTTCAGCAGAGCACTGTGTACGGCAGCCACACTGTCCAAAACATCGGCCGCATTCTTGAACGCGTTCGGTAGTCAATCATGATAACGTGTCCAGGCATGAACTGAATGTCACGGAAGACGTTTTCAGCGCAGTCGACAGCTGGGAGCTTCCAGGGCTGTAACCCGAAAAACAACTTTTTCAGACCCATATTCATACGGACTTTATACATTGTTTTGCTGCGTACATCCATTGTAGACAATTCTTCGTATACAGATTATTTTGCGTACTTATTATTATCAGCTTGCGGATCGTTTTCTAAGGGTCATGTAGTCTCGCGACCCATAATTGAAAGTTGCGACACAACGACAATATAAGGGCGATGATGGAGGCAGCAAGAACTTCTGAAACGTCGGTAAACCTCTACCATACTACACGGCGCAACAACCCAGAAGACAGCCATCTTCATAACGGGGTCTTAAGTTTCACTCTGTAGATCCTAGACATCGCATAAGTCTTGGTTCCTTTTTACTTGGCTTCAGAGGCTGCAGTCTTTTGATGACGGCGTAGCAGAATTGTTGGAGCGGATGATATGTACAGTTTCTTTACATCGCAGTACGGGTTTTGAATAGTGGAGCCAGTGTTCGCAGACGTACCACCTCCCATGTTCTGGTTTCTTCCTGGAATTCGAACAGAACAGCAAACGCACGCGACTTGTAGCCAGTCCACGTCTGTCTTCATTTCCATTCGACACTCCAAACCTTGTCTGTGGCGCCGCAAAGGGAAACTTACAATATGTATGGGGCAAGCATGATGACAAGAGGTTTCAGCCATATTCCTCTTTCTTCCTGATACGTTTAAGACAGCATTGTAATTATTTGCAATAGATTATCACTCTGCTGATCTCCATATATATTCCTTCGTATTTGTGAGATAAATCGCTTTTGAAAATGATTATTGAAAAACTCCGAAGTTCGTGCATCGTCAGTATGGCACCTTTAATACTGGCCGGCACAATGACCAAAGATGATCAGAATACGTGTATCCTTAATTTCACGGGGGAAGTTTCGCCACGTCTGTGTGCATTAATTTTGCAAAATTTATAATTTAGATATTTGACTTGCATGTACAGATATAATCACGATAAATGAATGAATTCTTTATTTTTGTTATTAGACTTATCTGAACGATTTATTTATATACTTATTTATTTATTTTTCCATCCTTATGCCGGCTTCTTATATGTATTTCTATGAAACTTGATCAAGAATTTGGTGTAAATATTTAATTTTCAAGGTAGAAACAACTTTAGGAAATAGAGCTTATTACGTTCTTGTATGATACGAGAAAGTGTTTTCCCTCCTATTATTAATCAGCTTTGGTTTATGTAGACCATCGTCATATTCTGTGGTTTTATTTACTGTTTTGTGTTTCCTGCGTCTGTGGGACGGAATATTGTATTTCATAATGCAGTTTTTACAGACTTTTGTGTTTATTATCCCGTCCTGCATAACCTTCATATTCACCAAACAACGCCCATTGCTTCAACCCTAAGTCGTGTTTGCAGACAGGGGCGGCGCTTTCATGTTAACTATGTTTGCCGGGCTAACACGGCTAACATGATTAATATGATCGCTCCGTTTCTGCATACAGCTGTGTCCGTATGACTCCAGTCTTGCGTGTTGGGAGGGATTACACTAAGTCCCTTCTGTTTTCACTTGTAGATCTTGCTCTGTTCCAGTTTGTGATGTAAGTCATCAATGTATTTCGAACTGGCTACTTGTAGTGAGTGGGTTAACGAATCGGGATACGCAAATCATAGAGATGAGACTATCAGTTCGTCGTTAACAGATATTTTGCAAACCACTGATTTCCATTACGCGCGTACGCATAATCTCACCAAAAGTGTGAAATTGGTGGTGTAGCCTTCCAATACCAGATTTAACCTTAATCCATTAAGTAATTGCGTAATGAAACATACAGAATGACCGTCCCTTTATGCATCCATTTTGTTCTTTTCGTGAAAATAATGCATAACATTAATATTTAACTTTACTTAAACTGCTACTTGTGGTTGCTATTCTCACTTGTAATTTTTTCTAATTAACGAGAATTTTGTAATTATATGGGCTACGTACGCCCTGCAATATGTCTGGGATAATTTATATGTGAAGAATTTTCCCAATTACTTAGCTTGAATAATTGAATGCCATATATGGAATAAACGATATCATATTCAAAACTGTTTATTTTGATTTCGTACAAAGTTTTACACACAGTGAATAACTATTCGTTTTCCTCATAAGAGTCGATGGCAGATTCAGTAGACAAATGATACAGATATGTGTGTGAAGTAACTCTGAAACTCCGCTAACTAAAATGCAGTCCATTACAAAGAGTCTATCTGTGACGAGAAACTTAAAAATAGGGATTCATTTTCTTTATTAAGAAGAGTTTGAACCCCAGCCGAATTCAGACCATCAGTAATGAAAGCTTTAACTACAATGTGTAAACTTGAGACAAAAATAACCAAGAATAAATAAGCTGTTCTTCCGGCTACGCTGCAGTGACATCTGAGAAACGTATGAATCACTGCATTTTGAATCTTGTAACTATCAGAAAACAGACATGAGGGCTTAATTTTAAAAATTATCGAATTTATTTGTATCTGAAGAGTGCATGCAAGAGAATGGGAAATGAACTGATGTGAGGTGTGCTACTGAACGTTTTAATACAAGAAAATGAAGAATTTAAAGCTCTGTGAGCGTCAATTTCCAACGTCGTGGGCACGATAAAGTCTCGCTGGTATGCGTTCTTGAAAGAACAATTATCAAACTAGAGAAAGTAAATATTTCATCATGCTATATGGTACGTAAATTAACTTAAAGGCTTAGTAAAACAAAAAAGTCTCTTTCAAATATTTTTCTGTATAGTGTGTACAGTATTTGATGGCACACTAGGAAAGTAATTTATGACATACACATTGTTATTTATAGAGCGATTCTTTTGCAGTGTAGATTTGTATTTGCAATAAACGAATGTCAAGACCAATGAAAAGTAGATTTACAAAATTTCAAATAACGCGTCTGAAAAAAGCAATATCTAACAATCATGTGTAATCAGCAAAATGTCCACCTTCGTCTTTCGCTGTTATTGCCAACAAAAAAGGCATTTCAAGGTTGATGCATAGCTTCTTCCAGTTTACAG